TCAAGCTCTCCGTACAATCTCTTTGCGGAATCTCTCTTTGCCATTTGCTTCTGGATTCTGGCGTCTCTCCACACATTCTCTCTTTGCGCAATCTCCTGCACGCAATCTCTCCATGCAATCTCTTTATACAATGCCCGTTGCAATCTTTCAATCTCCCCAAGCAGTCTCCCCACGCAATCCCTGCGGCTTGCTCGCCACCGGACATCTCCGCAACGGGTGGTGCAAGGACTAACTTCCGTTGAATATATTTGAGATAGACGCGCAGAATCTCCAAGAAGGTTCGCTTGGGGCACTTCCACAGTCGATGTCAGTTTCCCATCATGACATGCATGTCACGAAAGCTAGCTTTAGCTAGCTGAAGTTTTCTCCTTGCGTAAGCAAGGTAAGGGGCTCAAATGCCGAAAGATTGATTTTTTCAATTATTTGAGCCGAAAAGATTGAAAAACATCAATTATTTAGACCCCCCCCCCCTCCCCCCCCCCCGGGTCTCAGGCTCGATTCCTCCCTGGTCCATCCCCCCCCCCGGGCAGTGGCTCAGTGTTCAGCAGTCTCGGTTTGCCCGTTTTGGACTTGGTGCTACGAACTTTTACATGTTCCACCGATTCAGCTTGTTCATTTGAGACCTCAGTCTTCTCAGTAAACCACCTCGCAAGAATCTTTGCACACGCAGCATGCAGAACCCAGAGGTGCTTTAAGACAGCTTCTGACGCCTCTCGTTGTTTTCATCTTTCAAGGTTTGCCACGCCACCATGTGCGTTTGCGTGTCGCATCCTACGAATCTTGCCGGGCCTCTCGTTGTACACAAGCTACCCATGAATCCACTCTGTCACCGACCCATCTCATGCAACAACTGCTAGCTTTCGTTCACCCGCTCCTCAAGTCTTCTGGAGCAGGCGATTTGGAGCAAGCTTTTCTACGCAGCAGTCTTTTTGCAACTGCAATCTCCATGCGCGAAACCTCTCAGCAATCCTTTCGTGACGTTTCTTTGAGCAAAGGCTTCCTTGATGTTCGTCCATTCCATGTTGCGCAACCTCTCACACGATCTCACACGGAGAGTTCGCTAGGATTGCGAGGGAAACAGAGGCCGGCTCAATCAGCTTGCTGTCAGGACATCAAGCGATATTTTGCGGCAGACGTGCAAAGAATGATGGAAGAGCCACTCGGCTGGAGAACGAAATCGCCGGCTGCAGCCAGACCGCCACATGGCCATGGGTCAAAACCCAAATCGTACCCCCAGTGAACATCTCAATCCCCACTAGAGTAGGTTCTAAAATGCGTGGTGCACCGAAAACCCCAAAATGGGATCCCATTGGTTTTGAACTATGGCCGCAAACCTGGCGAAGATCCGCTCGGTCCTTGAAAGCCGAGGTTCAAGGTCCAGGCGCAGCTGCAAGAGAGCGAGAATGTGAGACTGCAGCAGCAGGCGCGGCACGGCTGACGGCACGGGGAGGGCTGTGCCGCACGGGGAATATTTCTCACCTCACCCCGTGAGGTCACGCAACTGAAGGGGGAGAAGACATCTGTCCATCAGCAGATCATCGCCCTGCAGCTGCTTGGCGAAATCACTGCTGTCTTGAACTGGGCGAGTACGACATGCGAGTTATGGGGGCAGAGATTTGCAATCCCAAGGCGACGCATTGAGGCCTGCGGCGTTGCTTCGGTGATTGAGCTGAGGGTTGGCCTTGCGCCTGAAGCGTTACACACGCGAGGTTCCATTTGCTTAAGTCCCTGGGAAATAGGCATGATTGCAGTAGTGGGGAAAATCAAACATATTCTTAAGCTTTCATTTGCTTAAGTCAAGCAAATGAAAGCTTAATGGCCGGCTTGATCAGTGTTTGGACATCTCATTGTAAGGCTGCCTCGCAAGGAGCAGAGACGCACTCACCCACCCACCCACCCACCCACCCACCCACCCACCCACCCACCCACCCACCCACTCACCCACCCACCCACCCACCCACCCACCCACCCACCCACCCACCCACCCACCCAAACGCAGAGCCGTATGGCTCTCTGATCATGTCAGCATGAAGGCATTAGCTCACCGCTTACCCTGCTTGGACAGGAAATCGAGGAGGAGATTGGGCACGAGTGAGTTGGCAAATCCTCGTGCAGGGGCCTTGAGTTGCTTCAGCACTTTGCCATCATGCTGCTCACCGGCAGCTTGTGAGTAACAGACCTCGGGACACAAGGCCCAGAGTAAAAGCTCTGACTGCACGACTCGGATCTTGCTGGAATCGGGCTTCAGTTCATGTTACAAATTGCCGTGAGTTGCTTGACGTGCATCAGGCACGTCGTGCCACAGGGACTGGTGAAGATCTGAAGCCTGCCATGCTGGGGAAACACTCAGCATCACAAAGGCCTGCCTCCAAGACTGGCGAGACCGGCAGCCAGAACATGGGCTAAGCATGATGTTCTACTGGGGCTCTTACTGACAATCTGCTTTTTATCAGCGTTGCTGATCGCGTTGAACGATGGAGCAAATTAGCATCAAATGTTAGCTGTTACACAAACATTGCACGAGGTGGAGGGCTTTCTTAAAGCAACGGCTCCCATGACTGATATATGCCTTGAGCTGTCGACAAGTATTGCTTCACTAACTTTGCTTGCACAGTTCCGGAAGAGTTTCCGCTGAATTGTGCTTTGCTACCACTGCCTGCGGGTTCTGTGTGTGGTACTTAGCTAGGCTGGAAGTTGAATATCATCTTCCTGGATTGATTGACTCTCGCCAAGCATCGTCTTCCTGTTTCCTAACTGCTGAGGGACGCACTTATCCACAGTTTGGCTTGAATGGATAAAGGCAACGATCCTCTTGCAGTCATTCCCTGGCAACGGTGAGAGTCAAGATGCCACCGCAGTTTTCATTGCATGCCGTCTGCGCATTTGGCAATGCTGTGCAGGCACTCCTGATCGCAAGCGTGAAAACTATGGAGCGACAATGAATCTATTGGTGAAGTTTATGGCCTGTGGATATGTCGGCCAACTTCCCACCAGCCGTTGCAGGTTCTTTGCCCGGCCCTGATCTTTGCGCTGGTGTGTGAGGCGCTCAGATTTGCATCTCTACTACGCATGTACTATGCCCTGGGGGCATCCAATGAATTGTTTACCCCACAAAAATCAACCGCAGTTTCTTAATAGGGGGGTGTCCCTTGATTGAAATGTGGGGAGGCAGGCCACTTTTGGAGGCATTGGATTCGAGACCAGATCAGCGAGGTCTCGCGGATCTGGCTGCGGTGGTCGCACCGCTGGACTATGCAACTTGCTCACAACGTGGTCGAGCCACGCGCCGCAAACTGATGGCTGATGCGCGCTCCGAGGCCATGAGCCCTGGCAGCTGCCTCGCGGGCAGGTGTTGCTTCTTCCCTGAGACGGGGGTTGATCAAAAGGTCCGATATACATGGGATGGCCATTGGGGCAAACCACTAAGATTTTACATTTCAATCACCAAGTGGGAAAAGCTGCCCATGGTCATTTGGGGGCCCGAACGGAATATTGATCAACCCCCTGTATGAGGATTGCGTTTGCTAAATTGGGGCTCACATGCACGACCCGGAAGCGCAGATGCGGCACCCAGGCAGGGATGCATCCGCCTCGCACCTCACACCAGAGGAGTCAGCATTGGGTTCTTCTCTAGTTCTTGCACGGCTTGGCAAGAAAGTTTGCTTGCAGCTGAGAACGCTGTGCGTATTCTCTTTGCTGCTTGCGTTTGTTCTGAAGGATAGCGGCTTCGTTGCCGCAAGCGAGCGGCATGATCTCAGCGCTCAAGGCTCCTTGTCGGAGTCGAGGAGTGCTTGCCCAGTGTCAGGAGTGTGTCACTCCTTCGGCACATGGGCAGCCATTGCATCATAATGAGATTGATTTTCATCAAGTGGTTTCTGGCAGTGACTGAAATGCGGGACTCAGTCCTTTGGTTGCTCAGGTTGTGGTTACTGTGTGGTCACGTGTCTGTGTGGATCCTGCGGATCCAAACATGTGTTCAGTTGTGCCAAAAGTTGCGTCAATGCCTGGGCCAACAGTTGTGCCAGCAGATGTGCCAACAGTTGTGTTCTGTCATGTTCATTCACGCGAGCACACCTTAGTACTAAAAGTTTGGTTCTAGGAAAGAGCAGGCACTGACTTGCTGCAGCGTGTCGTTTTTTTTAGGGGACCGCACAATGGCGCAACGGTTTTCCTTTTGGTTTCCCATGAACACCACCCAAACAAGGGTACCAACACAGAAAAAGGATGCGTGGGACCCGAGAATCGCTCGATTGCAAGGCCACGCCTGGAGGAGCAATGGCCGCTCTCCTAGCGCGGTGGCCCCCGCAGGGTTTGATGTTGGCTTCCGACTCCGGAGGCTCCTTCAGTCAGGGAACCCCCTATATCAGGATACCCTGGTTTGGTGGTTTGGATTTGGATTTGAACCCCTGCTTCTTGCAGAGCGATGGAAAACCACACCAAACCACCGATCCAAACTACCAATGGGAGCTGACTATAGAGCATTTCCCTACTAAAATGGGACCACCCCTGATTAGTACGATCCTCCAGATTAATCCGAGGTCAACAGCATAGCAAGTTAGGCCAATAGGAAGACGGAAGCCATTGTGGGGTGTCCCCTAAAAAAATACTGCCAAGTTAGGCACAGAAGGCCCAGCGCAAAGCATGGCAGGCACTGCTGGCCTGCGACCCAGCTAGCACAAATCTATGATCCTTGTGCACTGAGTCCGTGACATGGGTTGTTAGACAACTCGGAGGAAGAACTGCTTCAATGCGGGCTTTCTACCCTCCTTCGGGGGGTCCTGGTTTGGACCATTTGCCTTTGAAAGGGACCGGGTCCCAAACGTCAGGTTCCAGGTTAAATGGTGGGAGGGTCGCGTTGTTTTTTTTGGGGGGGGCACCTCCCCAGCCATGATGAAGGCCTTCGGTAAGGCATCCAAAGGAGAAGGGGCCAAACCCCTCCGCCGAGGTGATCTCGTTGCAGGCCTTGCTGCGGGCATCGCTTTTGGTGACGATCCGGCTGGCGCAGCGGCAACGCAGCTCTCGAGCGCCAACGGGAGGGCTTGGGATGGGAAAAAAATGACCTTTTGGTGTCCCTGGTTTGGTGAACCTTACGTATTTCGTGGCCCTTGGGGCAAGAGTCGATATTCGGTGTGGGAGAGCCGGAAGTCGAGCATTGATTTTTCTCACAGGGGAATCTGCTGGCTTGGGCAAACTGGGAGCTCGGAAGTGTTGCCACTTGGATCTTCTATGGGCGTTTTGCAGGTACTGCCGTGACAGCACTGTGGACAGCAGGCAAGCCCGGCTTGCACCCAGCAAGCCCGGCTTACGCGCAAATTTGCGCGCGGCTGTGGCCGGTGTGAAAATGCGCTACCATGTTCCAAGCAGCCGTGCGACAGAGTGGTCTGGGGGGCAGGGATCAGGCATTGGTGTGAGCGTTGCGAGCGTCGTGTTCATAGCGATTGTGGTTCAACTTTGCCGTCTGCGCTGCCAGATCAGGCTGGGCTGCCCTTGCGTCAGAACCGATGCTAGCGTCACCGTAGTGCTAGTGCACGAGTCAGGCAATGGGAGCAGCTTTGGGCGGAGATTCCGTGACTGAAACCAACAGAAGGCTGGGACAGGTGGATGGGGTGATGCCAATTTGATACGCCATGAGCCAAGACAAAGAACTTCTCAAGGGCAGCAATTCCTTCTCACACTTCTCTCACGAATACCACTGATTGAACTAGACGGGTAGTCGTTCTTCTACTATCTTGCTGATGCACTTGGCCTGCGGCAACATTCGAGCCTCACCGCTTGGGAGAAGCCAGCAGTGTGATGGGTCAAGCGCCCCCCTTGGCAGCTGGCTCATGGATCCTTAGCTGCCTTGGCAAATAATGCTGGCAGCCCATACTTACTCCTGGACCGCATCCAAAGGCAACAGCCATGACGTCGGCTTTCCAGCACACATTTCTTATCAGAATGCGGGGCTAGCACATTAGCAGAACAATGATGCCATGCATGTTAGCCAGTACTAACGCTCTGTCCCTAGCGCTGCGGATGTGGCTAAATATGGCCAGATGGCAGCCCGCGCTATGGCGTGGCGACGGGCTGAGCAGTCAAAAGCGCATGACCGCGGCACACCTTTTTTCATTGAGGTTCAAGACCCCTGTCTCACTCGTGGCTATTATCCTCATCTTATCACTGCTGCTCATGCTGTACTCCTCACCAGACGTCTCAAGAGCAGGCCGGAGCTTTGACCCGCTTCGCCGACCGCGAAGCAGCCTGAAACTGTCGCCCAAAAAAGGTGCAGAGGGCGGCTCACAAAAGGCCGTCTTGGACTTCCATGCCGCACTTCTCAAGCTGCCTGGCTTTTTCAGCCATGGTGGAACTCTGGGGGGAGATGGGGAGGGTCCAGAAACTGGTGATAAACGTCACCCTCACCTTGGATATGGCACTCTCTGCCCGAACGATTTTGCCACTTGTTGTGGTGCATCTGTAATTTATCAGGCTGACATGCAGCACCTAAGGAATATGTCGATGAGAGCGGCAGCCCTGGGTATTGTTTTGCACGCTCGAGTGACAAGATCTCTTAAGAGGCAGCATCAGCGGGCACAGGTCCACACAGCAGAGCAGGCGTTGATGGAGCTACGCCAAGCCCACTTAGATCTCAGGACCGACCTGTCTGTAAGCTTTGCAACAGGAAGGCCCTGGAAACAAGAGAATGGACAATGGGGCCAATTGCTGGCGTGCAGTGCGACTCGCCCGGCCTGCAGGAAAAAGCAGGACGAGGCGAGCCCGGGTTGCTAGAGCACTGCTCGTGGGAGGTATTTTATCGCTGGAATGAAAGAGGGGCTATTTGTTCAAGGCAATGCGATCCGCTAGTAGGCAAAGACAATGTGGGCGGCTACCCCTTTTTTGGCGGTTTAAAGCGAAACCAACAGGAAAACTGTTGCGCCATTTTGGAGGGTCCCGCAACAACAGAGACACCCATGTGCGCCCTGGACCTTCGGGATGGCAGGGCAGGAGAGAGAGAGAGAGAGAGAGAGAGAGAGAGAGCGAGGGGGACGTGGGGTTTTCTCGAAATTGTGGTCCCCTAAAATGTTTGGTATCCTTTTTTGCCTTCAAGTCCTAACCAAAAGGGCGTCCCCTTTGAGACACACCCATGTGTGACCTGGGAACAGCACCATGTCACATCTGTTTGTTGATCAAAAGGTCCTTTACATGATGACCATTGAGCAAACCACCAAAAGGATAGTGCCTCCCACTAAATCGGAAAAGTTGCCCATGGTCAGATGGGAGTATTGATATGAGGATCACTCTCCATATGAGAATCAACCTCCAGGTGAGGATCAACCCCCATGTGAGGACGAACGTAGGTGTCCTTTTTGGTTGTTTTGGCACAAGAATAGATGGCCCTGGTTTACTGGGTGGTTCACTCATCTGCCAGGGAAACCCATCTATTTCCCCCAAAAGGACACCTATGAGGACGAATCTCTGCCACGAGGCCATTGCACTGCGGCGAGCCACCCTCTCCGTGGCGAAGAGGGGCGGTGGTGCGCCCGCACCGCCGCCACCAGCGCCCAGCGAGAGCCATGAGGCCGGTTCCCTTGGCCGCTTTCTGTGCGCGAGCGAGTAGGGTTTTTTGCGCCAAGAAGTGGTTCCGTTTTTTAGGAATCAGAACACCCCACCCTTTCTTTGGTGCTTTTCGCTTGGATGTTAGGACTTTAACTTTTTGCCAGGCAATGGGTTTTCCATTCAACCACTAAAAGTTAAACTTTTAGCAGGGGAGCAGAAAGCAACCGAGCTTTGGTTTCCTTCTACAGCCCACCAACGGAACACGCCGGTCCTTTCTTGGGGCTCCCGCTTCAGCCGAGGAGCCCGCGGCGGACAGCGCTGAAGCTGAAGTTCCTGCTGAAGAGGATGCCGAGGACTGGAACCTGATCTCCCCATTCCCTTTCGGCGGCCTTGGTTTTTGTCTTTTTCTGTCAGAAGGTTGGTGAGGAAAGGGACACCTAAACAGGGAAGCCGCCTTTTTTGCGCCATTTGTGGGTCCCGCCCGAATCCACACAAACAGATGCGCACCCAAGTTGTTTTTCTTCTCTCTCTCTCTCTCTCTCTCTCTCTTTTTCCGCGGCTGGCGCATGCCTCACGTAGGACGGGGCCGAAGGTCCAGCCTCGGAAGAGCAGCAGAAGATGGAAGAGGAGGAGCAAAGACGCTGGGCTGAGAGCTGAAGGCAGTCGCACGCGCTGTCTTGCTGGTGCGATAGACATGGAATGAGAAATGGAATGACCCTTATAAACCATCCAACTGGTGGTTTCATCCCCTTCTGGTTCAATCCCACATTCCCGACCTAGCGCACCGATGGCAAGTTGTAGAAGACCATTCAACTGGGTGGATGGCTTCCATGTCCTGATGGCCAGCTGTCGATGTCCAGCTTGGTGCCTTTCAGCCTTTCAGCCGAGGAAAGCTCATTGGCTACAACGAGGCGATGGCAAATTTCCGCCGGGCTTTGCTTTTTGCCTTGCAGGAATGCTCTGAGTTTTATCTCCAGGTCACCAAGACCTTCAAGCGTTTCAGGCCAGGCGGCTGTGGAAAGGAAGCAACAAAAACGGTGCTTCGGCTTGCGCGGCTTGGCAGGCCGGACTTCAGGTGTGGCAGTCGTGTCCCCCTCCTGCCCGATGATGAAGTCGTGGAGTGCGATCGCTTGAGTGTCACTCCTTGCTGCAGCGCGTTGCTTGGCCATTTGTTGCATGAGAGGGGCTCATCCAACTAAAGATGTAGCAGTTTTGAGGCTGAGTGATTATTGATTCCTTGTCACATGGGTGTGTCTTTTTTAGGGGACCCCCCCAAAATTGTAGTTTTTCTCTTGGGCCCCCCTTCAAAACTACAACAAAGCGGGTGCTTTCAAGAAGACACACCCAAATCTGTGGCAAGTCTACAGGAATTCGCCATGCGTCCGATTCTTATCCCAGGCTGGGCTGGTGTGGGCGGACAAAAGGACACTGCACCCTGGCAACAGTGATTGGTGCCCTCTGGTCCAACATGGAACCCAACAGGGGTCAACAGAGTATTCCCGGAGGCCTCAGTCAGGTTTCATCTTGGTGGATGGGAGGGGGTAATCCATTTGTGGATGGCACGGGGTTAGGCTGGCACTGGCTGCTTCTTCTTTTCGCTCTCAGGTCGGTGCGCCACTTGCATCGACTACCGCAAGGAGGGCACGGGAAGCCAGGTGAACTCAAAGCGCTGAGGCCGCAACTCAGCCCCGAGCCAAAGGCGAGGAGACTTGCGTCGATTCAGAGGTCATTGGCATGACCCTTTCCAGATCGTCCAGCTGGCTGCGACAGAAAAACAAGAGGTGCGAGCGCAAGGAGGCATGCGCGGCTCTCGCGCGCAAGATGTGGAAAGCACAGCTGTACGAACCTGGGGAGCTACCATAAGAGCCTTGGCTCACAAAAAGAGTGCTAACTATAAGCCTGGAACATTGGACCCTCACCCCCAGCGGGACGAATTAGCTTGGGCGTGTCTTTTTTTGGTCTTGGCAAGAGGCAAGCCACATATCAGGTGGGTCCGAGCAGGAAGGTTCAATCCGAACTCGTCGCCAGGCCTGCGGCCTTCCAGACTCTGTATAAAGAGGGCCACCGTGTGGAACTCGCGGCTGGGGTGCCTAGCGGCCGAGAGGCTTCTTATATTCTTTCTCTGGGAGCAAGTTTGACCCGAGGTCCGGAGGATTGGCTTTGAAAAGCCCGGCTTTTGGGGTTGGTTTGCATGATTGAGGTGCTCATCTTGCCGGTTCGTTCGGTAGGCAGAAAGTGAGAAATGGAATGATCCCGAGAAAAGCCATCCCCCGATTTGCTTTCCTAGGGAATGCACCATCGATCATTCCCTACCTATACCAACCAGTTTTTTTCTCTGCGGGTGGCGAGCCACTTGTACAAAGGCTTGCGCAGGCCTCCTCATGGTGGTTCTTGGGAAACATTTTACATTTTTGCTTATTGTGGTTTTGATGGGGAAGTCCCCCACTTACCTGCCAAGAAGTAAAACTTTTGCTCCCCTTCCAAGGTCAAGGCCCTGGCTTTCTTTGGCTTTCTGAAAGGGTTCAGTTCTCGTTTTCGGCGTCTCGGTGGAGCTTTCTCGTTCGCGGTTCTTGGGCTACGTCGTTGGGCTTTCCTTGGCGATCCGTTTTGCGGGAGCGCTTCTTGTCCCCTGCCACCTGGCATGAGGCCAGCAAGCTGGGACCCGGCTTTCCTGGCTTCCAGGTGCGGGTGGAGTCGCGGATTTTGTGAGTCTCAAAGTTGTGCTTGAATTGCTTCCATTTGCTAAAGCCCCCCTCAAAACAATCTCTATATATATATATATATAGAGATGTATATTTCCAGTGAAATCGAGACCCTTCCAACCAAGAGGGGAACATGAAAAATCGCCATTTCAGCACATGGAAGTTGCTTCAGGCGTATCACACATCGGTGCGGGTGGATGAGCTGGAGTACTCCTTCAGTGGGGTCTGAAGCTGAGACCGTTGAAGCTGAGCTCGGACCCAGACCCATGTGGGTGAGGTTTTTCCCTTGGAAATCACCCAAAATTCGGGGGTACCCACCAAAAATTGGGGGAGTACCCACCAAAAATTGGGGGAGTACCCACCAAAAATTGGGGGAGTACCCACCAAAAATTGGGGGAGTACCCACCAAAAATGGAGCACCACATGAATGCAGACTGAGGATGGCATCGTTGCCGGCCGTGGCTTGCCAAGCCACTCCCGCTTGCCGGATGAGACGCAGGCGAAAAAACAAGAAAAAAAAACCTTCGAGCTTGGAGAGCAGCGTTGGTGCTCGGCGCTAGGTGGTCTACATGGGTCTTTGCTGCATCGATGGGGACGAGATGAGGAAGCACATGAATCCTCACTTCAAGAGAGGCACGCCTTGCATGGTGCAAATCGCCCAGAGGCAGCCGGGCGGCTTTGGATCAGTTGGTTATAAGTTTGGATCCCGGAGGCTCCTACGACCTTTTGAGGAAGAACTGCAACTCCTTCAGCGACTGCGCGCTCTTCTTCCTGCTGGAGCGGCTGCTTCACTTTGCGCCTTGGCCCCGGTGAAGGCCACGTTTCGCACTCAGGACACCAGATTGGATCCCAGCTATCGAGGCGCCTCGGACTTCTCGCCGTTTTTTTTTTTTGTGCGCTCTGAGCTCTGTGTGCTTTTCAGGTTTGGAGCAGCTGGGTCACATGGCAGACCGGCAAGCAGGCGGCGAAACATGAGCGCAAGCCAGTGGCAGTTGCATGTCGCTGAGGCATTGTCCAGGCCATCACAGAGGGCAAGTACTGCCCCAATCCATGTGCAGACGGATTCAGTGCCTGCATCTCAGCCATGGCTCTTCGAATGTGATGCGAGGTGTTTGTGCAAGCTGAGGTTGAGAGGACAATCCAGGCGCTGAACAAGCTGAAAGACCAGTCATCTGCCTTTGGCTTTTCTTAGGCCGAAGCCAAAGCAAAACAACTTCAGCGTTTACTGCCGCAGGGTTTCTGATTCTCTTTTCCCCTGGCCCAATGGCTGGTTGAGACCTCTTTGAAGGAATGCGCTTTTCAGCTGCGTCCTTCCATTTCATGCAGCATTGCAGAGGAGGAACGGCATAATGTTCAGTGCTGCACAGTTGCTTGCCCAGATGCAACGCCCAAGGCGTGTGGATGTACAACAGAAGGCTCTAGAGCCAAAGATGCTTGTACCCGAATTTATAGGGGTTCGCACCGTTAGAAGCATGGTGCGCGGGCCAGGCGGCCAATCATCCCTTGGGTTTACATTGCGCAAATGTCGTTTGCCCTCCAAATCCAGCCGTGCCTGGTCCCAGCGTGACAATGTTAGATGTGGTGCTTAGCAGTGAAAGCAGCACTCCAAGCCTGAGGGCGAGTGGGAGAGCCCACGCCGGAGCAAATGGAATTCAAGACTTGCATGCGTAGGCTGCATAGGGTATAGCCCCAGGTTCGCCGCCAAAAGTGAATGCAAACCTTCGTAGCCTCATAAACTTGAGCAGCGCGAGTGACAGCACGCATGCTTGGCGTCCCGGCAGGGTATGGCTGAACGCAGTCCCTGTAGTCAGGGATCCGGGGCCCCTCAAGATGGTTGAAGCAGCCAGCTACTTGCCTGGCATGGAACATGTAGTGCTTGGTAATGTTGACCCAGGATTAACAACCCCGTCCCATTATTAGGGGGGTTCCCTCCAAAAGTGGTCTGAATCCCCCCTAAAAAGGGACAGATGATGATTTGGCCCTTACAGCCCGAGGTTTGCCCGACTTCATGGAGGGCCGCTACGACATGTACGAGCGGAACACCTTCCTGGACTTCCCTGCGCCGTTGCCGCCCTTGCCGCTGGAGAAGGCACAGACGGATCCTCCACCTGGTCTGGAGGGTTTGTGCGGCATCCGCTCCGGGAAGTTCATCTCCGAGACGGAGCACTCAGAGGATTCCACTGCGGCGGATGAGGCCGACGCGCCGCCCCCCTTGCCGCTGGAAGTCTTCGTGACGCCCGACTGCTTTGAAGAGATCGACCTGGGCCTGCCGAAGCCTCTTTCTGCTACAGCGCCAGCCTTCATCCCGTGCCCCCTGCACGGCGTAGACCTACCAATCAGCAGCCCCTCCATGCTGGGCATGGAAGAGCCACAGTTTCCAGAGCCTCGGGCCAGAAAGCAAATCTCCCTGGAGGAGATGTTGGCCGTGCCTTCCTCGCCGCCTTTGGTTCCCATGCCAGTGGCGGGTGCTGCTCCCAAGTGGCTGCCAGCCCCGCCTTCCATGCCCGCGCCCGTGCTCGCAGAGGTTCCGGCGCCGGAGGCGGGCAGCTTTTTTTGCCGGTGGCTATGACCCTGTGGCTTTCGGTTCTAAGATGGTTTACCGTGGAAACACCCCCAAATCGAAGCTACCCCCCAAAGGGTTTAACGAGATATACGGCCTCCATGTTGCCACCATGCAGAGGGTTTTCGACCCCTCCGTTGATTTTGGTGGTAGCTTCGGTTTGGAGGTAGCGGAACCCATCTTAGACAGGTGAGGTTTTCCGTTTTTTGGTTGCAGGTCCCAGCAGCTGTGGCAGTGGCAGGCCCAAGTTCGCTGGAGGGCGAACTGCAGCCCGGGCAGCTGTTTTGCAAGGCGGCCGTGAAATGACTGTCGTCTTCTGGTAGGGTACCTGGGCACCCGCCCCCCAAAAGCAGGAAAGAACACAATAATATTATACGTATGTATATGTACACAAATAAATGATGGTTTCCCTTTTGCTCTCCCTTTAAAAGGGTTCCCTGAAACAAACACCCAAATGACTGCAAAGCACTAGGATGATCAATAAGTGCGTTTGGGGCGCTTCTCACTGCCCAATCGATTGGGAGGCGAGTGGAGAAGGCAGCTGGAATGTTCCAAGCTCAGACCAAATCCATCCATGTTCAGCCAAAGGACACCTATGGTCCGAGGTGCACTGGACGCTAGACAGCAAGCAGTGAGGCGCTCAGTCGGCTCCCGTGCTTTAGAAGCCAGGCTCCTTGCTGTGTGTTTTCTGTCTGTTGGTCGGGCTTAGCCGTCTTAGTGGCAACGAGCATGGCCTGAGGCTCTACAACACAACAGCCTTGCTCCCGGAGAGATTTGCGTGGGTTGGTTGACCTGTGCTGGGCCTGATGCCCAGTTGTTCGGTCGTGCCAAGGTTCGCTTGGTCTCCAGCACTTTTTCGCCAGTCACCCAGTTTGCTATTTTCCTTCGTCAGTGCTGGACCAAGCAAGGGGAACGGAGGGGTGGTTCGTGATGTGGCCGACATGACAGGCTCGATGTCGAGGGTGTTGGCCCCATGCCCTTCAAGGCACTTTGCTCGCTTGTCGCTTGGCTTCCGGGTGCCTCGGCCGAACCGTCGTGGGTTTTGAAGGGGCTTTGGGGGAGTGCCGCTTGTGGACTGCGCAGGCGTTGCTCCAGCCGAAGGCGCGGAAGCGGACGGACAGGGCACGCACAGTGGCAGTAGCAACAGTGGATGTAGCAGTCATCACCGTAGCAGTGTCCGTAGCAGTAGCAGCAGCATCAGTGGCAGCAGCGGCAGGAGTAACAGGAGTAGAGGAAAGAGCAGGGGGAGTAGGAGCGGGAGTGGGACAAGCAACAGGAATCGGAGTAGTAGTAATAGCAGTCGTCGTCGTCGTCGTGGTCCGTATGTGTATTACGCTGCTGCGGTAGCATGAGTTGAGCAAGTGCAGTGCAAGCCCACTTTGCGTGAGCTAGCATGTTTTGGATATGGTTGTTGGCTTAATAGGGAGTTCACATGTATGCTAACATACATTTGTCTGTCAGTTATGTATATAATGTAATGTGATGTAATGTAGTGTAGTGTAGCGTAGCGTAATGCAACACATGTATGTATGTGTATGTCTTCAAATTGTATGAGGTCCGGTTAAGAATGCTGGTCGTCTATACCACTAAATTCCCGCCAATTTGACTGTGGCCCATTTGTAGATGTAGATGCAGAAAGAGGTATACATATGGACAGAGACATAGATACTTATGTAAATGCTATGTAGATATTTCTTTCATTTAGGAATGGCAACTGTAGCAACGCTCGGAAAACTCGGGCATGCCGCTTTGAAGAGGGCCGTTGCCAGGTTGTCATCAACAACAAGCGGGGCGGAGGTTTCAAAAAGGCCAAGGGCAAAGGCAGCGTGGTGCTGAAGTGCGAGGCCAGCCAGCATTTTGCGTGGAACTCATTTGTGGTGTGTCTTTTTTAAGGTTGGCCCCCAAAATGGTGGCTTTCTTTTTGGTTTCCCTTGAACACCACAACAAAAGGTACCCTCGAAAAAAGACACCCCTTTATAACGAGGAGGACGTTACAACTAATTACAATCCCCAGCGCCGTTTTGCAACTTGCGGCGCTTCGCAAGACCTCTGGAATCAGGGTCTTGCTTTGCCACTCTCTTGTTTTGAATGGAACAAGTCGCTTTTTTTTGCAGAGTGACCGTGCCAGGCTGAGCACGCTGAAAGATACCCCAAGATGCACGTGGCCTTCCGCGTGGGAAGGCGCGCTCCGGTTAGCAAACCGGGGCGACATCTAATGTCGATCAACACTCCTGGCCCGCAAATGACCAAGGGTAACTTTTCCCATGTGGGACATATCTTCTTTTTTGGTGGTTTTCGAGATGATCATCCAAAACATTTGACAATTATTTTACTGAATATAAGTTCATTTGAATAATACTATTTAAGGTATTTCAGTATTATTAATCCAAAAAGAACCAAACAGTTCTCAGTGCGAAGCGCCGGGGCCCCCCCAAAATGCGCGGAAGTCGAGTCTGGCCCAGGGGGTCGCTGCTGCCGGCCCGAGTGATCGAGGCGCACGACTTTGCTGAGCCCGGTAGCCCAGGTCGTCCCATTGAGATGGAACGGTGGGAGCGGTATTCGAACGAAGACAGGTGATTGAGAGGGCCCCTTTCTGCGTGAAGCTTCGTCCCTCCCGCATATGCCTATGCAAGTTTCAGAAATGAAGTTGAGACATGTTGAGCCACAATCCAAACCGAATAGATGAAGATTTGTAAGGGATATCGCCAGCAAACGGCCGCCTTCGCCGGCTTCTCAATTGACCCGGTTCTGGGTAGCTCATGTTACTACCGTTCGGCTTTGATGACGCGCCTTGCCTCTTACCCTCGCAATTTACATGAAACCTGACGTCCGGGACCCGGTGCTCCTTTGAGGAAAATTTGGTCCAAACCAGGACCCCCGAAGGTCAGGTTCCACGCGAACAGAATGGTGGCAGGGTATTTTTATTCGAGCCACGTGACCCAAATGCAGCTCGCACTCACCTCTCTCAAAGACGTGGGGGTGGGACACATTTTGGGTTGATCATGGGTAACTTTTGCCCATGAGGGAAATATGTGAAAGACCTTTTGATCAACCCCGAAAAGGGTATGGGTACAAAATGAAATCACCAGGTGGGTATTATCGCCTTGTTGCGTCAAACCAAGGTCACAGTTTTGGTGAGTCTGGAAGTTTGATAGAATGTATTGGACATTCATTGGGCTTATGATTGGAATACGCGTGCACGTGCTAAACCATATGCTCGGCAAAGTGCAATCTAGACATTCGCTCGACAATCGCTAGACCGCGTTAGACAGTTTGACAATGATAGAACAAGTGAATGATGGATATATTTTAGAACCTTGCTTGAAATACCATTATGCAAGCAAGCTGGACATGCTAGAACCACTCCGAGCATGGACAGGCCGCAGCGAGGCCTATGGAGGTCTATGCAGGATATGATTCCAGGATTGTGCCGCAACAAGCTCAACATATGCTAGGTGCAGTTATTCGCTAGGCCCGTGCAATGTCGCAAAACGCATGACATGAAGCTGCTAGGATGTACAATATGGCATGCTTGAACGTGAAGCGAATGCCAGACACCCAATAGAACTATAATCTAAATAGGCTGGAACAGTCCCGCCCAAGCTAGACTATGCTTGGGTCAGGGTATGCACTTGCTAGAGTTATGAGGTTCGCTACACATATGTTCCGAATCATGCCGGGCTAGGCGCGTGAGGAAGCGCCCAGCCAAGCAGAAGCTCAGTTCGCAGTGGGGACAAGTAGCCCCACGCCCGCGCAACTTGAAAGGGCCCTTCGAAGCCAAGCATAAAGAAACCGAGGAACACCGAAGCTCGAGGCAAAACAAAAAGGACACCTCCCGGGAAAGGAACAGCTCATGGACCGGTCTCTTACAGACATAACAGTGAATTTGGCGAGTCAAAGCAAAAAGGACACATTCTAGAAAGCAACAAGAACATTGGGCAAGGCTCATACCGGTCTGTGTACAGTCGTGGGTTTGACAGAGATATTAGCAAATGTGGTGACAGCAACACGAACTCGAGAAAACACATCGGGACATGAAACACTGAATGCCACAAGTGACAGGGGAAAACAATCAACAGAAAACACTCAAGAATTCAAAGAGCAAGGCCAGACCCATCATTCTAGGCTTGTTTGAGCCGAGCTGGGCCAAGCCTGTCCTCACAGTTTGCTTCAGTTTCTTGATCATGCCTTTCTGGACGTTTAGCAAAAGCTTGCATCTGCCACCCCGCGTTTGAGAAAGACACACTACAAACAACAAACAAACATTATTAAGTTTCTCCGCAGAATCGGCATTTCCCTTTCTGTTTGTGATCGTGGACTTATGTCAGCAATACTCCAGGCCGACACACGTCTACGTTATTTTATTCTTGCAGAAGGTAATCGGGGGTTGGGTTGGCCAATTAGCAAGTACAATCCGTGGCAGCAGACGGACGGCCAATCATTACACCCTTTCCACTTTTGCTAAGCTTCCCGGTGCTTTCATTCTTGGAGGAGGGCTGTAATCGAGAAGCGCGGCCTTTGTCCAGCCAGTGTAAGCCTGATTGTTGCAAACAAGAAGTTGAGGTAAGATTCTGACATGCGGCCCTGTTGCCTACGCCAAGCATCATGATTCTTATCGCGGACACCCCGCGTTTGCGGATTGGCAAGAAGTTGGTTTGAAGGCAGAGCTGCTGCTGCCTGCCAGAGCAACAGCAGGAGTGGGACTTCAGGACTGAGGCATTTGTTCCTTGCTTGCGGCTTCCCCTTGTCTGATTTTTGGATGACATTGCGATGTCCAGGAGCCTTGTGGACGAGCCAACGGGAGCCTTGCTCGTTTCGATGCGCATAGCCTGTGTCCTAGATCCCTTGGACACTTGCAAAGCAAAGGCATGCGCAAAGCGAAATTGTATTGAGGAGGCGGCGTCAGCTAGCCCGTGAGAGAGGGCGGGGTTTCACCTGTGCAACAGCACCTGGCACTTGGTGCCATTGCGGCTCAGGTCACAAGTTTCACCGGACAGAAGCTTCTGTCCAGGACAGAAGCTTCTGTCCAGCGAGGTTCACTGCCTGCTTTAGCGGTCAAGGCTCAAATTCGGTCCTGCATTGAGCTCCTTGACGACTTGCCCTTTGCTCCATGAAAGCGGTGGTGTCCAGGTCTTCCTGTACGGCCTAGGCTGCGGTAGCTAGCCTGGAGTTCTTGGCAAGTGATAGGGGGGCACAATTTCTCGATGCTTGTGATACAAAGTGCCGGGGAGGCCAGAGGCCCTTAAGGCAAAAAGCATTGAAGGCAATCCCCCCACTCCGCTTCTAGCTTTGACTGATGTCCCAATTTCTAGTGGTCCAGTGTTTTTCTCCCGACTTACCCTCTCCCAAACTAACATGGAAGCTCCCGAACGGACCCCTTTGGAAGACTTGGTTCCGTCTTCTGGGAGCTTCCACGTTAGTCTGAGGGAGTGTAACTTTGGGTCTTGAGTCTCCTCCTCGCCCATTGGGAGTTTGGAGTGGTTTTGTCGTCCAGTTGTTGGATGCTTGTTTGAAGGAGTTGTTCCTCATTAGGAGTTGTTCCTCATTAGGAGTGGTTCCTCATTAGGAGTTGTTCCTTATTAAGCCCAGTATCAGCGTAGGTTTACTCAAGACCGTTGGACATGCATATCCTGAGGGTTTTGCGGAATGGTGGGGTTTCTGAATTGCCTCACCGAGTGCGAAGCATGATCTCGCTTCTTCTAAAGGTGTTGTCCGTACAGCGCTCAGCTTATCCTTTCTCCTGCCACATTCATCATGTTTCAAAATTATTTGCACTTCATTTACTCCTCAAGGACATGATTAATTATTCTACAGGTCTTCTTGCACCCCCCCTGGTTCGAACTGTTAGTGGAGACTGGTGTCCAACTTGTTGTTAGTGTATCGCCCAGCAGGGCATCACACATCCCGTGCTTTGGCAAAGTGCCTCATGTGTGAATGGCTGGTGGCTCGGCATGGGAAGACCCTAGGCTATGGGGCACTCCGCGCGTGTGACATGTGGAGTTCTGAGCTTTGACTGGGCCTTTGGCTTGTGCCGCTCTTTGCAATTCAAGCATTTATTTGGGCTTTCTAAGTCAAAGCTCGGGTTGGAGGCTGTGGGCTAGAGGTTAGCACCTGTACAGCGAAGTGCGGGCTCGGTGGTGAGCACACGAGTCAGAAAGTGCCGCCAGGTTTTGTCCATGCCACATATAGGGGCAATTGCAGTACGCACCTCTGACACAATGCAGGATTCAATAGCGTCTACAGCACACGCAATCGTCTGCCTATCGCCGAATACGTGCGAAAGGGATTAAGGGACCCATGAGGTTTCCTGCATCAACGGGCGCTGAAGCCCAAGCCTGGGTCCCATGCCTTCATGCGGGACATGGCAAAACATCAACGGACACATGTTCAACCAGCCTGCGCCTTTTGGGAGGAGTGGAAAGTCGTCAGTTCAGTAGCGGGTTTTTGGAGGGGTTCAGGCAGATGGGCAATGGCAGCCTGGAGATTCAGATGTTTTGAAACTGGCACTCGAAAAGGGGATCGATGTCATTTGCACTGGACAAGCTCAGCAGACGGAGAAATGCTTTGTAGTGGGCATTCAGTGTTGTAAGAGGGATGCGCCGTGAAAAGCTGCATTGGACACGCAACACGTAGCCAAGCAGCGATTTGTGGTGCAGCTAGGGGCCCGCAAGCACGCTCGCACAGCAGCTGAGCAACGGCGTTCCGCAGCTTTGAGCACCAAACCATGCCTCAGGGACACCAACAGCAGTGAGATGATTTTGCCGTGGTGATTGCCAGACTTGTCAAGTGCAGTTGTCGTTCGGCTGGCTGCTGGCAGTGTCAAAGAAAGCAACTGCCAGACTCGTCGCAGACTGACTGCCAACATCAAGTTGGAAGGACATGGTGGCCCAAGCGGCCAGCGATGGCGACGGCTGAAGCAACAGCAACAGCCGAGGAGGCTGCCGCGGTCCAAATCCTCCATGGGTTTTGACATGTCCGCTACATGCAGTTGATGATCGTAATCGGAGCAACTGGAGCGCATGGAGAGTCCCAGTATTTGTGAGACACGAAGTTGGATTCAGACTTTCAACGGTACGCTTGAGAGCAAGGACGGGGAAGACCTACAAACCCTCCTGCAGGCATGGCCTGCGATTGGGGCTAGCTTGAGGAAAGGTGCCGCTTGTAGTTCCACTTTGATTTACTCATGGCCTTGTCTTTCCTATGCGCTTGGCTTCAAGCTGAACTCGGAGTGCTGAAGTGTGTGCAGGAGTTGGTGGAACGCAACCGCCATGCCAGAAGCTTAGTGACGGTTCTTGTTTCTTCAGGGTGCCTCTTGACCCATGGGGCGCCCAAAGGGGCGGATCAGGTGTCCGGCATGGCGCTCGTGCGTCGGCCCCTCGGCCCCTTAGCCTTTTTTGTCAGCTGCCATGCCGTTGATGACCTGGTCAGCTCGGCCAGCTGTTTGGTTTCGGGATTCATCCGAAAAGGGTATGTGAAAAGAGGACGGCTCCCACCAGCGCAGCTCCTTGGAAGTTATTTTGTGCTGATTTTTGATGCCAGAGGAAAGGGTGGGGAAGAGTGGATGTGGGGCAACAGTTCATGACGGTCCTTTCAAGGCTTATCTCAGTGTTTTATTGCACGGCCCCCTGATTTGGACTGTTTTTCCGCAGCCCTGCTGGCTCTTCAAGCAGAATCTACTCGAAGATTCAAGCGCCGGGCCGTGCAATGAAGCAAGCCAGGACCTGAGAATGTAGCATCTGGCCATGGGTCAACACCAATGGGATCCCATTTCGGTTAGTAGATGCACCACCCATGTTCGGCTTTATTTTAGTGGGGATTGGGATGTTCACTGGGAGTACGACTTGGGTTTTGACCCATAGCCAATTGCATGACCTAAGCCACGGCTGCCGTGTTTGATTTTGCAGGTGATTGCCACCGCCTTCGTCCTGGCGCAGCGTGGTCTCTCACTTAAGGCGGGGGGCGAGCAGACACGCTCGGGCAGGCGAGCGTGTTCGACTCAATTGAGAGGTGCCTGCCAGCTTGTTGGATGATGGCGAGGGCGAATGCGCCTTGTCTCACTTGTCCATAGCCAGCTTAACCCAGGCCCTTTGGGCAACTGAAGCTTTTTGATGTTGCGGTTGATGTTGCGTTCACTCCCCTTCGTCAAGACGCTTAGAATGGGCTCGGTGGCAATTGAAGCCGGGAGCTGCAAAAGCTGGGCAGAGCACAAACTGGACGCTGACACACTGACGTGCAGCTAAGGCTTTGCCCACTCCTGTGGCAAGGGCTTCATCCCCAAGTTCGATCATGATGCGAGGAAGGGCACCTCTGACAAAGAGTGTTGCCAGCCGACCTGTGAGCTATGGACGTGCACAGGCAATTACGCCGGGTACTCAGGCATGTGAGCACCCCAAGCCCGGGGTTCCTTCCACTTTTGACTAGGCAGGCTTAAACACCCGGGTTTTCCTTTGAACTGGGTTTAAGTCTACCTTGAAATTGTCAAAAAGTGGAGCCCTGCCCCAAGCAACGGAAGCTTGTGCATATTGACCAAGGTGGCCAATGAGGCCTACAAGGGAAACATTGGCAAAAGCAACGAGCAATGCTGCGACCGAACATGCGCCGCGGTGCCATGCCCTACGGGGAAGAAGGCAGGGCTCGGCGCGGGGGCTTCTGTGAAGGGAGTCGTCTCAAAACCTGCGAGGTGCCGATAGATCTTCGGGAATCTGCCGGCATGTCACAGGAGGACCTACCGGACGGTGGTTCCCAGCCGGGTTCCTTAGATGTTTGTTGGTTTTTTTTAGTTGGTTTGGTGGTAGTTTCCACTAAACAGCCCTGCTACCAGGTGGATGGGTTCAGACATGAGCATGTGTGCGTGGGCAATGCTAGCATCTTTCTAGCCTTCCTTCTCCCTTTGCCAGGACTGCTGCAAAGAGACCTGCGCAGATGTCAAGTGCACGCCCTTCACACTGCCAATCAAGCTCGGTGCTTAGAAGAGTTGCGTGAATTTGAATTTCCGGCTGCCTGATTCATGTTCAACATCCCCCTCCTCAGAACCATGGGAGAAGCGGACGTTTTGGGGCTTCAACGGGAAGGCTTTCGTCTTAAAGCCTCCGATCGTCAGCCTCCTGACCCATGGATTTCTTGGAGGGGAGTGCGGTTGTCCGTTTTTTTGGGGTGTCGGGACCCCCAACGAAAAAGCAGCACAGCCGTCGTTCTCCTTTTGGTTTCCGCTTAAAACCACCCAAAAAGGATGGGATACCAACTCCAAAGAAAGGAACCAGACCCATCTGACTCGTTCCCCTTAGGATACCAACTAAAAAAAAAAACAGAAGCAGACCCATCTGATTCGTTTTCTCCTCGTTTTTTGCCCCCATTTTTTCCGGCGATTTTTCGTCCCTTTTTTTCCGCTTTGCTTCGGCGGCCAGGGCCAACCAACACGAAGTCTACCCGGACGGGGAGAGCCAGAGCTTCTGCTGCGAGCCCACCTGCCAAGCCTACACCTGCGACACCCGCAAGGGTTTGACGCTGGACAAGGCGCCTTGGTGCAGGTGAGCCACAATCAAAACCCGGGTAGATGAAGGTTAGCAAGGGACAGTCCCAGCCAGAAACAGCTGCGGCCGCCTTGGTATTTCCTTTCATGGTTCTGGGTCAACAATTTTAATACCGGGTTTTGATTGTGACTCGGGTAACCCCTGATTTGTGTGGTTTGGCGAAGCGTGTTGTTTTGATGTCATTTTCTAGGGAACCCCTGTTTTTCAGGGGAGCGGTTCATGTTGACCCCAGATTAACCAACCCACCTGTTTAGTTTCATAAGGGGGTGCTTTTCCCTGGGTGAATTGTGGGGAATCAGACCGCTTTTGGAGGGGAACACCCCCGTATGAATAAACTGGGGGTTGATTCATATGGGGTCAACATGAACCCCAGATTTGGTGGTTTGGTTTGCCGTGCTAAGCGTGCATTGTTGATTTCTTCTTTTTCTCAAGGGAGCCCCTTTTCTTGAAGCTTGGCGTTTTGAACGGGTCCCTGGCGTCTGTAGAGGGTAAAAGGGAAACCGCCCTAACCACAGCCACCGGGCTCCAAAGCACCAATGAGTGGCAAGCTGATTTGCGGAAAACGCGCACAGAGAAAGCATGCAGCACATGTCATATGTAATCATGTGCTATCTCATTTCATTTCATGCCACCCTAGGTCCTCACATGTCCTTATATATCGCCATACCGCCATATTATGTCCATACATGTTATTATCACACACCGTCACACGTCCTTGCGGACCATGTCGTCCATTCAAAGTATGTCTTTACATTTCGCCCGATGTCCTCACGTCGTCGAATTTCATTACACCCCATAATATGTGATAACACTTGAGAACACGTTGTCATATGTTCTCGCACGACCTCACCTATTATTACATGCACTCAAATGTTGGCAAAGGTCAACAAGTGTCATCACCCGGAACCTTACAATCTCAGAATCTCACCATACGGGATCACACGTTCTCGCTCGTCATCATATTGCACCATTTGTGCCATCACAACTTTCCGGACGCTTGCTTTTCACTTTGCTTAGATTTGCCATTTTGATGTTTGGTTCACCTGCGTCGGCGGTGCTGGGGGGATATCTACAAAGCGCACTTCTGGCAAACAGTGTTGGATTTTTCGGTCCGCCCTCTCTCCAGTCATCAGTTGTCATTATTGGTCAGGATAGGTTCTCATGTGTCTTTGCGTGTGGTCATACGTCACTCTATTACTCTATGGTCAAATCTTTCTGAGGGAACCCCTGGTTGGTTGGTTTTAAAGGGAAAACCAAAGGACAACCACCATTTTGGGGGGGGGTCGGGACCCTAACAAAAGACAAACCCATATGGTGTCATACGTCATGCATTTTTTGGTGTGTAGGGCTGGCGTATTTTTTCGCATCTGAGGCCAAAGCAGGGCTCACGCACGTGAGTGATGAGACCTGCTGCACAGCCACCTGTTCCACAGTGGTGTGCCCTGAAGGCTACATGATCCCAGGCCGCACTGGTTCAGCGGACGGCAATTTGGAAGACTCCCGCAAATACGGGCAAAACAAGAACCTACATGGGGTTCCCATGGAACGTGTGCCGGGCCTTCTTTCGAGACTCTCCCCAGCGTGTTGCGGAGAATCGGTTGGGAGCCCCTGGTTCCATGCATGGCTGTCTTGCCAAGGACCCACCCTGCGAAGGTCAATTTGGATGCCAGAAGCACGGCTGCTTGGACTGAAGAATTGTGCAGAGCTGGTTTGTTGTTAATAAGTGTAGACATTGAGTGGCCTTTTGGGGAAACTAGCGGACTGGGAAGCCATTTTGACTGTATCTGCTATGTTAGCTGGGTACTGTATACCAAGAGAGCATGTTTTTCACTGGCACGACCTAGCCGACCGCAAGTTTCTTGAGGGCAGCCCAGGACAGAGAGCCGCTGTTCGAGAAAAAACATGTTGGGTGTGTTTTGTTTTTGGGGTTTGGAGCACCCCATGATGGCGCAAGGTTTCCTTTTGATTTCCCTTTCAGAAACCAACCAAAACCAAAAAGAGGTACCCTCGAAAAATAATTTTGTTTCTCCTTTTGACACCCTGTAAAACCAAAAGGGGGCACCGAACTCCACAAAAAAGGACAGATCGCCACCTATGGGCCTGCGGCCCTTCGGCTCAAAGCGAGGCCTGCTGCGAGCCGCTGTGCAGCTCTCACGTGTGCAGCGCTGGGTGGGCCACTGACGTGTCCAAGGCCTTGGAGTCATGTGGCTGTGGTTCAAAAATAGGTACCCCAAATGGAACCCTGGTAAGTGGAGCCATGGACCAAACCTGCGGTCCCATGGTGGTTCAAAATTTGACCCATAGTCATGTTTGTTTGACGTAGCCACTCCCCAGCGAGCCGATTTATGTGAGCTGAAGTTTTGGCATCCAAGGGCAGGAGCCCAAAGCGCGCCTCTGCAAAACTGGGAGCAAAGAAAAAGAGAGAGAGAGAGAGAGATATTTGCATGCGCACGGCGGTACCACAGTCGTGAATATTGCAAGTGGTTTTTGGAGGGGATGGGAGGGAATGCGGAAATGCACTGCTTGTTGGCGGGGCTGGGGCGAGGCGACGGTGGTGGGAAACACGGACGAGGCCGGGCATGAGCCACAATCGAACCTGGGGTAAGGGATGATCCCCTTGCCAAAACTGGGTGCCTTCGCTGCCTTGTGAATTCTTTGTTGGTTCTGGGTGGGCCATTTTCCGATCGACTAGTATGGGCATGTTTGTAAAAATTGAAAACAAGAAAAATCCAGGGGGCCGGAGTCCTTGTCCAGGGCAACCCATTTTTTGGGTCGCCGCATTCTTGTCGCCCCTTCTCCGCGCTGTCGAGCGAGGTGTGCTGCCACCGCACCTGCAAGATCTTCTCCTGCTCCGAGGGCTGGGCGAAGAACCCGGCGGTGGAGAGCAACATCGGCGGCCTGGCGGAGAGAAACAGAAGGGCGGAGGGCCAGATCGAGCGTGGAAGGTGCACATCAAATACCGAGGGCCAATTTGTTTCCCCGTGTTTTTTTTTTTTTTTGGCGTTATATTGGACTCGTAGATGAATTGAATCTGGACCCGCACATGAATTAGGGAGCGCAAGGCAACTTGTGACTTGGTCAAGTGATCTAGGCGTGGATGATTCCACTTGCTGCCTCCCCGAGTGCATTCAGTACCAGCCGAAGTGCACTGGAGACTACGCACCAAATCCAGATGCCAACAAGACGGTTGGGCAGACGGCTGACGTGTGCTGCAAAAAGGCCTGCTCCTTATTCGAGTGCGGCTCTGGTGCTGTGAACGTCCCCAACGCCAAGAGCTGCTTGGCCTAAGTCCACGAAGAGCCTCAGAGGGTACCGAGTGGTTTTGACGCGTATGTAATTACATGTATTCATACGCATAAAGGTAGTTCTTGTAGTCTCTGCGGGGAAGTTCAGCCAGCTTGCTCATTTTGTGGAGCGTGGGGGCCGGTGGACAAATTTTGCACCAGAGATGTGAATGAGCTCAGGCGTGGTGGCCGCAACTGATGAAGAATGCTGCGAAGACAGTAGGTGCCCATCCTTCAGAGCAAAGACGGAGGTGAAGGATGGCTGCAACCAGCTGAGCAAGGCTGGGCTGCGGCATTCATCACATGCAGCTGAAAGCAGTGAACTTATTCTGTGTTACAGTTTGTACTGCTCCCGCAGGATGATTGCGAGAACAGCTATGTCAAGCTGCTGCCTGGCTGTGATTTCCTCTTGCTTTGTTGGCTCCTTGACTCATGGCAGAAAGCGCTTCCTCAGTCGTCAGGAAGAACACGCAGACCAACAAGACGGACACCTTGGCTTGCAAATGGGCCGACTATGGCCTTTGCCAAGTCCATGAGCTTGAGCCGGTGAACTGTGCAGAGTGAGAGCCGTAGAGCCGTCAGAGTTCGTGCAAGCGGGAGAGGCAAAACATGCTTTGTGAGTACCTGGGCAAGCCAAATCGAACTTGCACCGAGGTTGTCAAACGTTTACCCCACATGGACAGCCCTCCCAAGTTGCCAAGTACCTCGGAACTCCAGTCTGTTTTAGCTTTGTGGCCGGCGACGGCACTGCGACCCGTAAACAACACCGTAGCAGCACTCCAACCCAGGACTTCGACAGAAAACAAGTATAGACACATACTGAATTTCCCCATGCAGCGCACCCGCCATGAGGAGCTTTATGCAAAGCGATGCTCACACGCGCACACACACACACACACAACACACAGACTGAAACAAACAACGCAATGGAACGCAATGTGGATATCTTTGTGCAAAACAAGGCGCACGCACGTCACCCTGAAACAGGTCTTGGCGAGGGGGAGGGCTTCCAACATGACGGTCAAACGTGAGGTCAAAAAAGCGACTGTCTGAGTGACCGAACCGAAGCATGTGGGAGCTAGCCCTTTCCTTTTGCTCACCTACATGCACAATACCGAGAATCAGTACTGTTGACCCCACATTAATCAACCCAAGTTAATTAATAGGGGGGGTGTTTTTGGGTTTAGTGGGGAAGGGTCAACATGAATCAGTTGGTGCAAGTTCGGGGTTTGTAAGATGGGTCCCCAGGCGCCGCGCAAGTCAGTGCGCTGAGGGCCTTTGATTCGAGTCTGAGAGAATGTTGCGACCTTGGCAGCCAGAGGCCACGAAGGAGGTGAAGCTGAGGAGAGCGAGAGATCCATTGGCCTCAAAGCTCAGTTTGCATCCTGAGAGGGTTCAGGGTCAGGTTTTGCAAGAAAACAGGTATGCCTTGGACCCTGCCCCCAAGCACTAACAGTCACCACAATTTGGAAGACCATTTTAGTGGTGGTTGATCTAAATTTCCATCATCCACTGCTAGTGGATGGGGGCAAGGTCCAAGGTATGCCCCTTTCGGTCGCCTTTTGAATGCGACCCCCGAAACGCATTCCAGGAGACCCAGGAAGCCGTGGCCGTCGGCCTCGAGCACCCAAGCCAGGAGGCGGTGGCCGCACTGCCGGGCACCAAGCCTGCGGTGGGTGGGGTGGAGCCCCCAATTTTTGCTTGATGGTTCCCAGAAAATCGTCCAGTTCCTGAGCGTTTAGTTTTGAGTTGGTTGAGGCTTAGTTTCCAGAATAGAACCCACTAAGGACAGCCCAGCTTGGGGGATCTAAAAACCGCCCAGCTTGGGTTCAAAGGGAAGCCAGTAGGAGCTTTCCATTTTTTGGGGTCCAAATCCTTGACGTCCCTATTG